GAAATTCCTTAGCAAATTTAATTGGAGTAATTTCGTCCGAAAGTCTTACTTTTCTGCTAGTCACCTAATTTTTTTTTAACCCTACATTACTCTCATAATTATGTCCCTCGAAAGTAATATTAAGCTAATTCAAAAAAAAAAAATGATAGAAGTACACAAATTTATTGTTGGCAAAACTGTTTGCTCCCCCGTTTATTTTATATGGTAAGTAACTTAAACTTTCTATATGTACACATGTCTAATCTCTGTTTCAATGAATGAATAAATCAGAAGTGATTCTATAATACGCCTATGTTTTTCAAAACTTTCTATATGTACACGTGTCTAATCTCTGTTTCAATGAATGAATAAATCAGAAGTGATTCTATAATACGCCTATGTCTTTCCCTACTGACAATTTTCCCCTCCAATACTTCCTTGCGTCGGCTCACAATATCCTTTATCAGAATGCCATATTTGTAAATCTTGAATGATGGCCCAATTTTCACTTTTAAAGAAAATGGGGTATCCCTTTATACATTAATTGACAAAATGATTTTCGAGAAAAATCTTAGATGTCTTCACTAGATTCATTTCCCAAATTTATTATGACATGGCATTATATAAAATATCACATGGCAAATTGTTTCTCTAATTTAGCTCACTAATCCCTTATTAAATTAGCCCACAATCGACCATATTTTTTTTATAGAATATTAAAATATTTAGTGTTTAGCCCACTAAATATACGTAAGATCAGTTTTGGGAGATTAGTTATAGAATATTTAGTCCACTATATATAAACACTAATCACGCCCAACAAATCCTTTATTAAATTAGCCCACAATCGGCCACATTTTTCTTTTATAAAATATTTAGCCCACTAAATATACGTATGATTAGTTGTAGAATACTTAGTCCACTATATATACACTAATCATGCCAACGAAAATTTATATCAATCGGCCACATTAATCTCAACTTGATTTTCATAAAAATGATTTTGGGAAATAGAGAATGATATTCACAATCAAACTAATCTTACGTATACACAGAAAATTTTCATTAAAAGTAAAAGACAATTTTTTGTCGATAGTAACAAAAAAAAAATTTAATCAGTGTTTCATTTATCAAAATTTATGATTATATATTCTAATATTTTAAAATAGTAAATAATTTATTTACACCGAATTAAACCGGTAAAAATCCAAAAACCGGCGATGCAATCAAACCATATCGAACCTAGTCAAGATGGAGAACAAATAGGGGGCTTCACGATTTGGATTCACGTAACGTGAAAAAATGGAATTATTTTTAGTGTTGAAGCATCTTAATCAGACGTTACCGGTGCACCCATGCTTCTTCCACTCTTCTTCACGTGGTTTTAGCAAACCATTAATTCTCTCAACCTCTTCCTTTAGTAAACGCTCCAGTAGTTGGTATTGACTAGGGGGTGTAACTCCTGGACCAAATTGTCCGATAGCTTCAACCATCATTTTAAACTCATCACTTTCTGTAACACTAAATTGAACACTGAAAGCATACACCCATCTAGCCATGTATGTTTGAACCTTGTATGTTTTTTCTTTCCAAATAGCATCACTGATATTTTGTTGCCTAGTTGGAAGAGGTCTCGATTCCGGATCAATAGCTGTTGCAAATCTGTCCATTGGACCAAGTGTCCTATGCATCTTTTTTTTTTTTTTTATCTCATTTCTTCAATTTCAATCTCATCTTCCAAATCTTCACTCTCATGAATCTTAACTGATTGTCGAAACTCACTATCGAGCACTAA